TGATTGTTCGGATCACTGGTATCTAAGTCTTCCGTTGTGCTATCTTATACTTTGTATTGAAAGGTCGGTTCTTGTTCTGGTCTGCACGTTACAGTATGCAACAGTTTGGTATCGGAGTGGACCTCTCATTCAGAGGACCCGCTCAATCAAGTAGCCAGCTTGCGATCTATTGATCACTCATTAGTAACGCAAGTAGGACTTAGTCAAATCTCTGAAATTTTTTTCCTCGCAACAACTATCTGAAAATTTCTAATATTCGCATTTTCGTTCTATCTGAAAATTTCTGATATTAGTAGTTCGTTTTTACGTRACAAATATCTGAAAATTTCTGATAAATCGCATTTCGTTTTGTCTGAAAATTCCCGATAGTAGCATTTCGTTTCTCTGATATTTCGCATACATAGCTGAAATTTCTGAAGTTAGTATTTTCGTTCTCTAGGCATATTGGGATAACGATAGAAGTGGTCATATTCTCGGAAACTGAAATTATTCTTTTCTGAAAATCGCATTTCCATTCTATCTCGCAAATTTTTTTTTGGAAACCGAATCTTGCGAAGCCTACCAATATTGCGTCAGGCATATTCGGAGGTTGCTATAGTCTCAGAAACTGGATTTCATTCTTTTCTGAAAATCGCATCTTTACTCCATTTCGCTAAAAAAAAAAATTCAAGATCGCAGTTTGTAAAAGCCGAAACTTTGCGGAACCTAGCCTAGATCTCGTTCATAATACTCTTCTGACATATCCTACTCATCATAGATCGACAGATATATACAAAAAAAAAAAAAAAAGGAAGTAGTCCTCTTTTATTTTTTATTTTTTTTTATTTGTTGATTAGGGCCGGAGGAAAGTATTGTTGGGTTGGTTACCTACCTACGTTTTCCCTCCCACCCACCCCTCGCATGCATCCCGGTTCGGTACAGTGCCACGTCAGCAGCGCCACATCACAGTGCCAGATCAGCAGTGCCACGTCAGCAGTGCCACGTCACAGTGCCAGGTCACAGTGCCACGTCACAGTGCCAGATCAGCAGTGCCACATCAGCAGTGCCAGGTCATAGTGCCACATCAGACTCAGTCCCACGTCAGCAGTGACATCAGACACAGTGCCACGTAAGCAGTGCCACATCAGCAGTGCCACGTCAGACAGTGCCACGTAAGCAGTGCCACATCAGCAGTGCCACGTCAAACACTGCCACGTAAGCAGTGCCACATCAGCAGTGCCACGTCAGACACAGTGCCACGTCAGAAAAAGTGCCACGTCAACAACATGACGGGCCTGCCAGGCCAACTGGCCAATGAGCCCATTGCCGACTACAAAAAGCGTGTCCATGCTCAGCTCGCTGCAATCGAGGCTGAGGAACAACGCCAGCTGGCAGTCAAGGCTGCCCAGCTACAGGCTGATGAAGCGGCAACAGCAGAGAAGCTGTGGCTACAGGCCGAAGCAGACGCAGATGCCCAGGCTCGCCGCAAGGAAGCCCAGGCTCTGCTGCAACGGCATGAAGCCAGCAGCATCGAGAAACTGAAGTACTGGCATTTTGAACCAAACGGCGACGAGCCAACACCGGAAGAGCAGCATAAGGAATTCATGGCCAAGCTCGTGAGCAGGTTGGTTTACACATGTAACCACCTACAGTCCGAGCTGGCAAACCTCCAGCGGGCTGTGCGGAACCAAAAGACTCAGCACGAGGATGCCACACGGGCACTGGACGCCCGTGTACATGACTTGGAACAAGTTCCACCAAGACAAGATGCTGG